GAAGACAGAGGAGGGTAAGAAGCCCGCAACATCTCAAAGGTCTCCATTCATTGACTACAACAAGAAGAACACGTTCAGCTCCAATGAGGCAGTGAACAAGCTTTACGTTGCCCTCTTGTATTGGGTCAGGCATCACCCAGGAGCAAATGATGAAGTGACCAGGTAAACTAACTCCCCACAGCCTACATACATATCTTTTTCAGTTGCACAGGACTAGCCACTTAGTTGCACAGAAAGCATAGCATGTTGCACAGAACAGGGCTTTTAGTTGCACACTGTTCTGTTTCAATTTCATGCACATTTTTTTGCTGCGATGACCCTTCAAGCTAACTTGTCTTTTTTATTTCTTTCAAAAAAATCCAGCCCTGAGATAGTCAGGTTTGGTGCTTTCTACATTTCTTTAAAGGAGTTAGTTGATTCGATGAAGCCGGTTCAATGGCTGTCAAAAATTGTTATTGAGACTGGAATCTTACACATCATGGATAACTTACAGAAGGGTCAAAGAAGGTCCTTATTCCACTGAGGTTTTCTGTAAGTTTTTCCAAAACCTTCTTTACCCTCATCTTTTGTTCTGTAGTATTTTTTTTGTTGACCAATTGAGGGAGGCCTTTCATCTACTAAGGAGTTTGAGGCATGCTTTTATAATCTCTGCAGATGAATTTACAGCAAGGGACCCACAACGTGAATGAGATAAACAAGAAGTTTGATTACAAGAATGTCTCGACAAGAAAGACTTGGTGAGTGTTGTGCCCACATGATCCATCTCTTTTTAGTTGGCACCCACAGCATGTTCAGTTGCACATGATACATCTGTTAGTTGGCAAATACTTGTTGCAACCTGTTTTTAACTTGACCAAGTCTTTTACTGTTTTTCTTAGCTACAGCCTGTATTTGTGTCTGAAATCGTTCACGCTTGCAGGTCATGCTGCCAGTGCTCGAGTTCACTGATGTAACCAATAAGGACGGAGAGAGGCATTATTGGGTCTTCAGTGTCAACTTGAGGGAGGGACGCTTCGAAGTTCTTGATTCAAGCAGGAAGTTGGACAACATTGAGCTGATGAACAATGTCTCTACCATCGCGGGGGCAGTACGCCAGCTATGGAGAAAGCATTACCCAAAGTTCAGCATCGAGCACTTCCAGATTATTGACATTGACATACCAAAGCAGCTCGGCAAGTAAGACATTAAGAATGGCATCCTTCTCAATTTCTCACCATCAATTTGTAGTTTTTACAATTTTTCTACTTGTGCAACCTTTAGTTTTTCAAGACACAGAACTAGTCTACAATCTGTTTATCATTTTTATGAGTTTCTAATGGATTATCTAGCCAGTTGCAGAGTGGCACATAAGCAGTTGCACATTAGAACATAAGCAGATGCACCGACTGCATTATCTTTATTGGTTTTAATTTTATGTGACAAATTTTCTTTTTTGCCCATCGCAGTAATGAGTGTGGGCTGTTCGCACTGCTTAATGCCACCGAGTGGAACGGTAGCCAACTGCCTAACTACGAACCCAAGGAAGTACTCAACATTAGGAAGAAGCTGTCATATGATTGGGTCACCAGTGTGCACAACGACGCCCCATGGAGGAAGTTGTTGAGATACGACAAGGACTAGGTCAATACTCTTTTTCTTTCTCTGCTCCATGGAGGAAGTTGCTGGTTTACACAATTTTAAGCAGATTTTGTAGTTGCACACTAGTAGTAATTCTGTTTGCAACTCAATATCATCACTTTTGTTGATACATTAGGAGCACTGGATATACAATTGTTCAACAACTAAATATTTAACCAGTTGCCATGGTTAGCCCATCCACTGCAGCACAAATAACAACCTTTTTTACACAGTGCATGAACTAATTCAAGGAGCATAAATTAGATAAAGAGAAATCATAGATACGGAATGTGTCCACTTGGTCCCAACATTGCTAAAAAACATCATTCTTTTCCTTTTTTGTCCCAAAGTTACAAACGATGAAACAGAATCACAGTAGCCTGAGTGGACATACACCATTAGTGTGCTCTGTAGATTGGCACTGGCTGCATTTGTTTTTCTTCTTTGGGTGTAGCTCCAGCACTGATTTGTACCGTCGACTCTTTGCCCTACCCTTTATAGTAGACCTTGGAGGATCTCTGGGCACAAAATCATCAGAAGCTTGTGCAGGGGATGCAACCTCCAACGGGGCAGTAGGACCATCACGATCACCTGTGTAATAATCATATAAAAAGTTTATTTTTTTGTTGTGCAACCAGCACGGATGTTCTCTGCAACCACACAACCCATGTTGTGCAACTAACTGGTTGTTGTGTGCAAGTTAAGTTGAAAAAAACACCTGTAGTAGCATGCCCCGTCATGGTACTTGGATTGTAATCGCCTATGGGCATAACAGGAAAAACAAGTTAGATTTTTAGCTTGATCCTCAAACTAACACAGCGCACACAACTAGGCAGCATGTTCTGTGCAACTGGGCACTATGATATGTGCAACTGAAGTCAAACACCCTAGTTTTATTGGGAGTCGGGGAAGTTATTTACCTGGGTGACGAGCCCCCTGAGTCCTGCCTGTAGGTCTATTGGGAGTAGCACGCAGGGCACTGCTAGTTGGGCCAGGCGGGGGAGGAGGTCTTTGAGGGTTGGCATCACCTATAGCCAGAACAGGACAAACAAGTTAGTTGTGTTGTGTTTGATGCTCGAACTAACACAGCGTGCGCAACTAGGTAGCCTGTTCTGTGCAACTGAGCACCATGATGTGTGCAAATGGAGTTACAGACCTAGTTTGATGGGGAGTTGGGGCAGGTAATTACCTGGATGATGAGCCCCCTGAGTGCTGCCTGTAGGGCCATTGGGAGGAGCACGCGGGGGAGGAGGTGGCGGAGGATGCTATGTACAGCGAGGAGGTGGAGTAGGCCCTTGAGGGTTGACATCACCTATATCCAGAACAGGAAAAACAAGTTAGTTGTGTTATCTTGATGCTTGAACTAACACAGCGTGCACAACTAGGCAGCCTGCTCTATGCAACTGGCCACCATGATGTGTGCAACTAGGAACAATGGTGTGTGCAACTGAAGTTACACACCTAGATAGATCAGGAGTTGGGGCAGGTAATTATCTGGATGATGAGCCCCCTGATTCCTGCCTGGAGGTGGAGGAGGTCCTCGAGGGTTTCCATCATTTGATGGCCCCGTGGCAGCAGTCGGTTTTTTTCTTTTTCTTGGACTTGTTTAGGTGGCCGATCTCGGTACGTGCTGCGCGCATATGCTTGTATACAATAGCTTGTGCTGGATCAGAACCACTCGCAAACTTTGCTAGTTTCCAAAAATCGTATATCATGTTCCTCTCCCTTCTGCTTCTTTGATTGAGGAGGCATTTCATCTGGTTGCTCATAACCAGTCTCTGGCGCATTAGGTACAGCAGTAGGTGTCCACCGTCTTAGCAGGTACCTTTTCGGTATGACATCAACTCCAATATGGGTGAACACCTTGAGGATGTGGCAACAAAGGATGCCGTCCTTGTCCATTTTACATCACTCACACAAATAGGAACCCTCCTCCACCCTTGCCTGCACCAACTAGTTTCGAGAACAAATTCTTGGTTCGGTCTGAGCTCAAATATATCAGCACCAACTTGGAATGCATTATAACGTCCAATCAACTCAAACTCTTCTCTGAACTTGCGGTGAAGGTCCCTAGTATAGGTTTTGTAAGCTTGCTTCTCTATTGGGAAGTTGGACCACAGCTCAATCTCAAGGTGTTCTGTCATGTAATCGTTGCAGCCTTCCTTGGCAAGGAAGTGGTTCTGGATTTTTTCATATTGCTTGACGAAGTTCAGCATTGAGTTGTGTGGGTTCACATATCTTTTTAGGACGGCGTTGAACCCCTCACTACACTGTGTAGACCGTAGGAAGGGGAAGAACCTGTGTTTGAAGTAGCATGGCACCTAAGTTGACCTGTATTCGTACAACTTCTCAAAGTGCGTGTGTGTCATAGCCTCGTACTTCATCATTAACCCAGCTCAATTGTGCTCAAACTCGTCTATAGTGAACGTGAAGTCAACACACTTGTTCAAATCATCAGAGAGTCCTGGATTCCGGCATAGCAACCAACCAACTTTTTCCTGAGGTTTCTTCATGATGTGCCATCGACAACAGTGGTGCACGGTGGTTGGAAAGATGCTCTGTATTGAATGCCTCATTGCACCATCCATATCGGTGATGAAGTTGTCAGGAGGTTTGCCATCCATAGCCTCTAGGAATGCTCCAAAGACCCAATCAAAGCTCGATGCCAACTCCTGCCTCACAAACGTGCAACCCAGCATGAAAGATTTGCCATGTCGGTTTATTCCTATGAAGGGCGCGAACGGCATATTATACATGTTGGTCATGTAGGTGGTGTCAAACGATATGCAATCGTGGTACGCCTCCGCGTAAGCTTTTCGAGCTAAGCCATCCACCCAAAATATGTTGACAACTTTGTCCTCTTCATCATATTTTACCTTATAGAAGAAGGCTGGATCGGTTTTTTGTATATCCTTGAAATGCGCAATTGTCTCAATCAGATCACCCTCCTTTGTGTCATCTCTATGGAAACTTGTACACAGATTTGTTATTGCCTTTGGTTCGAACGGCACCATCATCTCAGATCCGTAGAACTCTGCCATTATATGCATCATACGTCCTGCATAATACAAAAACAAACAGTATATCCTTTTTTTAGTTGCACAAGCACATCCAGCTGCACAGTAATAGCACATGTGTTGGCACAGAAGATAATCGCAGGAAATGGACACCTAGCTGCACCTTTTTAAAAACACTTTGCACTTTTTGCATATAGGACATTGTGTAGTTGCACAGTAAAGACAATCTAGTTGCACAACAAGCACCAAAAGTGATATACAAACAGCATGGGAAGTTGGACACCAGTTGCATAGTTAAGTCATTTCAGTTGCACAGTAGTACCATAACAGCTGCACACTGGACTGCCTAGAGGGAAACTTAATTCTTTAAGGGATATAGAAAAACACCACACCTGTAGTCAAGTTGCAGTTATACAAGATGCGTAGAAACTCCTTTTCATCAGGTGAGATGCCCCGGTGGGATCTCAAGTATTTGGACAATGAAGGTTTGTTCACGAGCGGATGATTGTGGTCACGAACAAAGTGCGTCACCTCCCATCGCCCATCTATCAGCTTCACCAACATTTTTGCCTTGCATTGAGTCTGCATTATTGTCTCGCGTTTGTGCTTCTTCTTCTTCTTACTAGTACCAGCCTCCTCTTCAGCAAATATTGGAGGTTTTTCTTCCATCTCCTCATCACTGTCAATAGATTTTGGATCTGGAATAGGGTCCAGGACAGGAGGAGCCTCAGCTCCTCCATCACCAGCTTTGGGCTTCTTGAACTTGTTGTAGCAAAACTGTTGTTTTATCAATTTATTGGTGCGGGGTGTCCGTCTAGAGGTGTTCATCTTGATAGAGAAACCCATCCGTAGTGCGTAGTTGTTGTAGTGATCCTTAGCATTTTGAAGTTCTCAAACCTCATGCCAACATAGGGTTCCATAGGTTGAGAACCAGCCTCATCCTCTCCTTCTTCTCCTTGCACAGCTCCGTCAACAGCCCCAGCTCCTAGCTCAGTCCTGGTTGGACCAGGAACATTTGCCTCGGTTCCCGTGTCATCAAGAGTATGGCTCTCTGACTACAAAGACACCACTACAGGGGCACCACGGTCTGATGACTGGCCTGCCACATTGTCATGGCCCATAGGGTTACCATCATGACTTGCCTGCGTGTAGTAAACAGATTGACCATTTTCTGGCCAATTTCCTTGTTGTATGCTGGGTTGCTGCTGATCCATATCATGAGGAAGCTCATTGAGATCAGGAGGCAACTCATTGAGATCAAGCATTTTTTTTCCTTTTTGTGGATGCTACCACACACTACCTGCACATATAAAAAGAAGAAATTGATGTCATCAGTTGGTAACCACAGAAAAGACTGTTTCAAACAACCTAAAAACTTAGTAAATAGGCAGTTTGCACACCATTTTGTGACAATCTTAGTTCCAAAAGCAACATGACTATAGCATAATCTTTTTATTATAACAGTTATGAATTTTTTGTTTGCCCGGAGTTGTTATGTTACTTGCACAGTTTGTAGTAAATAGCTGGCAAGAGCATGACTTGTTTTTACAACAGAGTTTTCTGACTTTTTCCCTTTGTTTTGTTGCAATCATCTGTAGGTATTCTGTTTGGCAAGGAGTCGTTTCAGATTTTTCTGCACATAATTTGATGTTACATTTGAGACGGAAAATCCAAGTGAAAGAAGAAAGAAGAATTGGAGGATAGATTATAGTTATATGTTTTTCATTGCCGTTTATGTTTTTAGTTCTGCTATATATAACATATTAATATGGTTTGCAATAGGTGTGGGACCAGAATATATGTGTGGGACAAGATTATATGCGTGAATATGTTAATATGGTTTGTGGCTTCATTAGCCATGGACAAAAGTTCTTGTGTTTTTTGCTGTCGCACTACAGATTTTTGGTTTTCGCTACAATAGATGTCTCAATTGCCAGGATGCATTTTTCCAGTTGGCCAGCATACATATTCAGTTGGACATTCAATGTTTTTTAGTTGGCTAGAATAGATGTATCAGTTGGCTAGGTTGCATTTTTTCAGTTTTGGCCAACATGCATGTTCAGTTGGACAGTTAATGTATTCAGTTGGCTAGAATAGATGTCTCAGTTGGCTAGGATACATTTTCTTAGTTTTGGCCAACATGCATGTTTAGCTGGCCAGAAAACATGTTTTTATTGCACATATACTACAGGTTTTCTAAAGTGTTACTCACAAATATCCAGTACACGTGGGGTACAATGCATGTTTTAGTTTTGGCTAGCATGCATGCTGAGTTGCTAGAATATAGTTTCAGTTGGCTGGGATGCATGTTCAGTTGCACGTTTATGAATTTTTCGTTGCACATATCTATTGGACAGTCAATTTGTTCATCCTTTTGTTCATTCGCAAACAATAACTACAAGTTGGTAGAATGCATGTTGAGTTTGTCTACAATGCTTTGTTGAGTTGGCTTTAATTATGTTTTAATTGGCCAGCGAATTTGTTTTAGTTGGATTATTTAACACATCCAGGCGGTAGAAACTTGTTTGGCATGCACCAAGTAGTTTTTGACTTGTTTAACACATCAAGTAATATCATGTAGGGTGGTGTGATGTGCCAGATTCACCTCTTTTTTGAAGCAGCTTCTCCATGGATTTGTGCTAGATCCATGGAGCAGGGGGTTTACATATTCCTACATATATGTAGTAGAAGAAAGGGGGAAGTGAAGAGGGACACAGGGGGCTTACCTACTTGATGTTACTGCCTGGTATGGCTTTGACCACCCTGCTTTTAGATCTTCTTTTTTGAAGCAGCTCCTTCTTCTACTTTGGGGCTCCCATGGCCGTTGTGTAGGAGGAGGAAGAAGTGCTGGGGGCGATTCTGTTGGATCTCCTTTCTGGCGTGCAGAAGAAGAAGAAGAAGGCAGCGTGGGAGGGGCTGGGGCGTGGGGGCGAGCTGGGTACAGCTGGCCACATGGGGGTGTGGGAGATTCTGTTGGTGGCCGCTCGATCGGTCTGTTTGGTGGCCACTCGATCGGTCGGTTTGGTGGCCCTTCCTTTTCTGTTTCGCGGGGGACAGGGACTTACCTTTTCAGGTCGGCCGCTCGATCGCACTAGTGGGCAGTCGGCCGCCCACTAGACGCGTCCTTAAAAAATAGGGCAAAGGGCCTAACCACACTAGGGTAAATAAAATGTTCATGAGATAGAAAATGTGACGATGGGACTGGGATTGCATGCCGACCTTCTGTTGCCGACTTCCGGTCGCCGCTAACGATCAGGTGATGTGCCGACACCACGACGGGCGAGCGGGTTAAGGGGGAGGCGGCTAGACGAAAGACAATCCTGATCTCGGGGAAGCGAAAGTCAGTTCACGAGACGTGCGCCCTGAAGCGTACGATTGGACTCCTACTAGATATGGAACCTGAGGCACACACCAAGGCAGTAGTAGTTTAATCATGGGCCTTACTGGGCTACTCACGTTAAAAGTTTGTGCACTAAAAGGCTTCTAACTTGTGTGTTCCAACTTCCTGATGGGTTCATCCTTGAGTTTGTAACGCCACAATACTGGCTCTGCCCCTTGTAACGCTCCGGATCCGATGCGCCAGGTGTCTGCCAGTTATTCACCGTCATTGCCATGTCATTTTCTTGCGTGTTGCTTTTGCCATGTCATCATCTGCATTTCATCTGCATGTTTTTCAAAACTTGCATCCGTTCGGGTCCTCCTGGTTCTCTCTGTTGTCCGTTCGGAGTCCAGACCACACTCGCACGCGCCCGCGGCACCTCCGAATATTATTTTTGTAAGTGGCATAAAAATGTTCTCGGAATGGGGTGATAGTTGGCACGTGGTCTTATTATAGTGTAGACAGACCGCCTGCCAAATTTTGTCGCATTCGGAGTTCGTTTGCAGCCTAACCGTCATCCATAGTCGGTTTAGTCGTCGGATGTTTTCGCTTCAGAAATCGTGCCGGGCTCCACTTGTCTTCTCTCCCCTAAGCCCAAGGCCCCTCCCCATAGCCCATCTAGTCCGCCTACACCACCCCACCATCCGATGCCGATCGTACGGTCCGAAAACGGACTAAACCCCCAACCCTAGCCTCCCTGCCTTATATAAACACCTCCCCTTCCATTTTGGGCAGCTACCTACCCCTCCTCCTAAATTTCCGTGCCCCAATCATCTCCCAGCCGCCTCCCACCTCCATTTCCGCGCCGGCCCGCTCCACCGCCGCCACTTGGCCTCCTCCTGCGCCTCCACCTCGCCGCCGCCACGTGGCGCCACCCCAGTGGGCAGCGCCGCCGCCAGCCGCCGCCAGGGCCAACCAGAGCCCGCCATGTGTCCTCGCCATGTCGCCCCTGGACTCCCCGCGCTGCCGCGAAGCCTGCGGGCCCGCCGAGCCCAGATCGGGCCCGGGCAAGCCCATCGGGGCCCGATCCCTCCTGCCGCACGTCGGAGCGCTCGCTCCCCACTCCCCGTGCGCCTCCTCCTGCCGATCCGCTCGCCGGAGCCTCGCTGCTCCCACGCCGCAGGCCGGAGCCGCCGCCGGCGACCTTCCAGGCCAGTGCCCCACGCCTCTCCTTCTCCTCCTTCCCCTACCTTCTCCTTCCTCTCTCTCACTCTCTCCCGCAGGAGCCCTGCCATGGCCGCCACCCTTGGAGCTCATCGTCGCTGGATCTGCAGCACCGCCGCCGAAAACGGACGGATCGGGTGGATCCCGTTTGGATCCGCGCTTCCCCACGCCTCTCCGGCCTCCCCTCGCCGGCCCCGTTTCGCCGGAGATCCATGCCACCGTGCCATGGCCTCCTGCTCGTGCAGGAGCACGGGAGGCCGACCCCTCGCAACCCCGCTCGGCGCCTAGTGGGCCCTGGCCACCCCACGGCCCAGCCCAGCGTCGGCCGCTGCCCCGGCCTACCTCCTCAACCGACCGGCCCAGTAGCCCAGTGATGAGCAGCCCACTAAACCCCGCCCAGTGCACGTTATAGCTATCCACCGCTCGTCCTGTTTTTTATGAAAATCGGCTAAGTCCCTGAAAAATCTTGCATTATATTACCATGTTCATGGCATCATATCTCCATGCATATTGCTCCGTTTTGTGCGTGTAATATATCAAAATGTTCTTCTTGAGATGCTCTACATTTCATTCCATTGTGCCATGCTTGTTTGAGTTGATCTAGATGCCTGAATCATCGTTGCAAGAGTGCTATATGATGTTAATCTGCTGAAACTGTTATAACTTGGTGATTTGTCATTTTTGTTGCACTTGATGTGTGCATCTTATGAGCATGAGCTCTACATGTGTTTTGTGCTACATCATGCCATATTTACAGGGGTGTATGCCATGTATTTTTGTGATCAATGTGGTGACTATAACAAGCATGCAAACTAGGCTTCGTGATGTTTCTGATTTCAGTCCCTGTTCTGCTGTTATTTTTATGCCATGTAAACTTGATGCTACAGAGAGATCCAAGCTTATTTTGAGATACTTCATTAAGGATGTTTTGAACATATGGTTATTTTATATTCATTCATGCCCCTGTTTGCAATTATGGAGTAGTCTAGCATGTCTTTGTCTTGCTCTACTTTTGCTATAAAATATTTCCTGGCAGATTGTTTACATGTTATTCAATTTTGCCAAGGTTGTTGTAGTTGGTCCTTGCATGCTGTAAACTTGTTCTTGCCTTGATTAGTTTCATAAACATGTCTTCTTGTTGATGCTATGCTTATCTTGTCATGCAATGACTTGTGGTGAGTGAATCAAGCTCGTGAAGTAGTGTACTTGCTGTTACTGTTTTGCTAGGCTGAATCAGTTATTTTGTGATGCTATGTAAACCTGCTGCTACAAGTCATTCTATCCATAATCTGGAGTTGTTCAC